CTCCTGTGACAGCGGCCTGCCCTCTGGCCCCTCGGGAGGGCGGCCCCACGAGGGCGGCCCCCGGCAGCGCGCCGTGACTGCCCGTGGTGGCGCCTGCAGCCCGCCCCCGCCCCTGTCTCCGCTCGGACTCTCCCACCAGACTCCTTCCTGAGGAGCAGGTTTCTGGGCTCCACTTACCTGTGCGGGCGGTGTGGGCGGGACTGGGACAGAGCCGCCCAGGCTATCGCGACCGCCCTGGATTTGGGAAATGCAGGACTCAGACCCAGCTCCTCGACGACGGGGCGGCCACCCTGTGCCCGGCTCTGGCCAGCCCTGCGGATGAGCGGGTTTGCACACTGCTTATTCAGCACGTCGGGATGGCCCCCAGGAAGTCAGGAGCCTGGCAGGGGCGGGGGCGGGGGCTGTCTCCTTGGGGGTCGAAACTCCACAACTGAAACAGCCCGCTGGGAAACCGTGTGATCCTGCTGAGCATAGAGAGCTTCTGTCTTCCGTCTGTGCGTGTGCGTGTGTATACGTGCGCGCTGGCCCTGCAGCCTAGCCAGGTCCTGGCACATGCCAGGCCAAGTGCTCCGCAGCTGAGCTGCTCCCAACCCCGTTTTCTTTTTATCTATTCAGCGTCTCTATATTAAGCATCTGTTGTTAGAAATAAATGAGTTTAGGGGCTGGAGATTTAGCTCAGCGGCACAGCGCCTGCCTGGCAAGCTCAAGGTCCTAAGTTCAATTCCCATACTGGAACAAAACCTAAATAAATAAATAAATAAATAAATGAGTTTAAAATTGCTGTAGCAGAGCAGTGTTTACCTTATGGAGAAAATCGACTTCCTGGCAGGGAGGAGGTGTGAAGGAAGTTGGGGAGCTGCGTCTTGCCTGTCCACCTCATGTGTCACCCCTGGACTGTCCCAAAGTCAGGCGCTGATTGGCCGGTGCAGGGGTAGAAAATACTTTATTTACCGAGCTCACCAGCCAGCTATGCTGTCAGAGCAGACAGCAGAGTCCCTGCCATTAGCACGAGGTTCACTGTGACCCTACTGAGTATGGGGAAGGGCGTGTCAGTGGTTGGAATCCCAGCACCGAAAAAAGAGCAAAAACTGAAATCCAAGGACATTTTGACATCGACCGTGAGACTAAAATGTCCTAGCATATCGCTATAACAGAAGGTGCCAGTGTGACCCTTTACTTTCTGTGCTTTGCATTGCCTTCTGCCAAACCCTACCTCGTGATGGTACGGAATATTCTCAGTGTTCTGTGCTGTCATTCACGTTCCTTGCGCCGTTAGCACCTGGTGTCCCTGTTGGGATTTGGCATGTCCATTGTCATCTGGAGACATTAACTGTCAAGAGGTCCTGTCAGTCTCCTGCCCGCACACCAGGGCAGCACTGTCATGAGCACCGCTGGAGAATGCTGCATCAGCTTTCTTGTAGGGACAGAGGAGTTAGGGTTGTTAGAGGTGAACTCTGAACAACAGCAAAATCATTTGATCAAAAAAACAAAGCCCAGACCTAGGTTAGGACATTTTAAGGTTTATTGGGCAGGATGTGCCTCTCAGAGATTTATGACCCTCTCCTGCTATCTAGTGGACACCTGTGCTCACCGCAGCACACACAAGCAACATCAAAATTCTGGCCCCAAACCCTGGAAATTTATTTCTAAAAAGTGTTTCCTAAATAATTACTGTTCTGCAGGAAATGCTCTGAGTGGACATGGGCACACACATGCATATATACAATAATGCTCACTGCATCACCAAAGTGGAAATAAATGTGTGCAGTCTAAATGATGCTTGATCAGAGAGCTGCTAAGGTTTTACAATAGATTACATAGCTGATTAAAGAATGTGGGGACTGGGCCAGAAATACAGCTCAGCAGGCACAGTTCCTGCCCAGCAAGCATGAGGTTGTGAGTTCGAGTCCCAGTACAAAAAAAAAAAAACAATTTAGGAACTGTATATATTACTAGTACACAGAAATAGGTGAAAAGTCAAGGTGGGTAACTCATGGCATCATGTGCAAATGCATTTCCTATGCTTGTAAATACACATTGTGTGGACACACACAGAAAGCTGCCTCACCTCTGTCATGTTACAGAGTAAGAAAGACAGACTTTCTCCATTTTAAAACTTACTCTTCTGTCACAAAAAAAAAAATTACCCTGGAATTTTTATGTTTAGAAGTCTTAATTATAAAGCTATTATGTATTTATTAAAGGATAATTAGAAAACATGCATAGCATAGGCATTAGGTTAATTTTAAACATTAGTGAAAATCTCAGCACTGAGAAAAGTAGCATCCCTTGCTAGTCTTGGGGCTGGGGATTTAGCTCAGTGGCAAAAGTGCCTGCCTGGCAAGCACAAGGTCGTGAGTTCGGTTCCTGGGACTGGAGGGGGGGAAAAAAAAAAAAAACGTTGCTAGCCTTAATTTTTGTTGTACTTCATGTGAATAGATAATGTATTCAGAGTTTAAAAAGTAAACATCAAGCACTCGAGCTGAGCTGCCCCCGATGCGCATCTCCACCACCCCGGCTCCGGACCGCTGCCTGTGGACTTCGGGAGAGCGTGGAGCCGTGCCGTGTACAGACCTTTCTTGCTGGCTTCTTCCACAAGGGGTCTGCCCGTGTGTCAGTCCTTCCCTCCTGATATGGCGGGATGATAACCGCTGTGAAGACACAGCAGCGGTCATCTACCCACGCCTCAGCTGGTGAACACTCTTTCTGTCCACGCTGGGGCCACTGCAAGCGTTGCTGTGCCGGGTGCCGTGGATGGTGAGTCTCCCACTCCCGGGCAGGTGCGAGGGCCGCAAGCCAGTCCTCTGGGAATCCAGGTGTAAGGCTTCTAAGGATCTGCCAGGCAGGTTTCCAAAGCATTTTGTTATCCCCTGGAGGAGAGTGCCGGTTTCCTCCCCACCTCTGACAATACTATTGTCTATGTTTTGTATTAGAGCTGTCGGGAGAGTAAAATAGAATCCCTTATGCTTTGCCTTTCCCTGGTGCTAAGGGTGTTCAGCGTCTCTTCTTGTGTTTATTGCAGGACCCCTGTCCCCAGCCACCTGTCTACTGAGCCCCCCTACCCATTTCTACACACGGCTTTAAACGGATAATCAGATTACCTTAGGGCCCATCATTTGAAGGTCATAAATCAATAGTTCACACACACAGCTGCACAGCTGTCTACAATCAGTTGTTACTCACCCCGCAAAACCAAAGCCCTCACCCCTCAGGCTCTTTCCCCAGACCCAGGCAGCCTGATCTACTTGTGTCCTTCATTCGCCTATCTGGACATTTTGTGCACGTGGATGTAGACGCTACGTGGCCTTTCCTGTCTGGTGTCTTTCCTGTCAGGTGCTCTTTCAAGATTCACTCATCTTTCCTTTTCTTTTTAACTGAAGCATTTTTTTTCTTTTTTCTCAGGTTTTATTTCCCTTAGTACATGTTTGTATTACATAACAACCACATTCCGTGTGGAGTGGGTGCATCACACGAAACACCTCATTCAGTTCTTCTTTCATCCCCTCCTCTCCTCTTCCTTCCCTTTCTTATTGTGATAAACATTTGTCATTTTAACTGCTTTAAGTGTACAATCCAGTAGCATCAACTACGTTTACTTTTTTTTTTTTTTTTTTGCCATTAGGGATTGACCTTAGGGGCATTCTGCCACAGAGTTAAGTCCCCAGCCCTTTTAAAAAGTTTGACACAAGGTCCCAGTAAGTTGCAGGATTCAAAACGCAACCCTCTTGCCTCAGTCTCCCTCAGTGCTGGGACTGCATGTTTCTAGACAAGAGTTTTGTGCAACTATCACCATCTATTTCCAAATGTTTTCACAGCTCCAAACAGAAAACTCTGTAACCCCTAAGCAGCATGCAATTTTCCCTTCTTCTATAATCCACTTTCGGTTCAATGAAGTTGCCTATCTAGATATTCCACCTAAGGGGACCCATGCAGTATCTGTCCTTTTTGTGTCTGGCTTATTTCACTTAGCATGTTTCCAGGGTTCCTCTGTCTGCAGTGTATATTGGAGCCTCCTTCTTTTTATGGTTGAGGACTATTTTATTGTGGGTCTCTGGACCACATTTTGCTTACTGGTCCACTACAGGGTGCTTCAGTTGCTTCTACTCTGTCTGTTGTGAATAATGCTGCTATGGATGTTGGTCTACAGGTAAGTTTGAATCCTTAGTTCAGTTCTTTGGGCATACACCTAGGAGGGGAGCCACTGGTGCCATATTATCACATGGTAACTTGCTGTTCAGTTTTCTGAAAAACTGCCAAACTGTTTGCCATAGCAGCTGCACCATTTACCATTTCCACCATCAAAAATCCAGGTTCTGATTTCTCCACCTCCTCACCAACACTTATTACCTGGTATTTTTTTTTTCTTTTAGATTTATTATAGCCATCCCAGTAAGTGTGAAGTCACATCTCACTGTGGTTCCTCAATCACTAATGATGTTGAGTGTCTACTCCTGTGCTTATTGGCATTTGTGCATCCTCTAGAGAGACATGTTTATTAAAATCTTTTACCTGTTTTAAGAATTAGACTGTCCTTTTGTTATTGAGTTATAGGAATTACTTACATATATTTTTTGTTTTGTTTTGTTTTGGTTTTCTTCCGGTACCAGGAATCGAACTCACGACCTTGTGCTTGCCAGGCAGGTGCTTTGCCACTGAGCTAAATCCCCAGCCTTTCCTTACATATTCTGGGTAGTAATCCTTTATTGGACACATGATTTGTCCTATTTTCTCCCCATATATGGGTTGTTTTTTCATTTTTTTGAAAATATTTTTTGATACACATAAGTTCTAGATTGTGGTAAAGTATGATTTATCTGTTTTGTTGTGTTTTTTAATCTCTAAGAACCCACTGCAAAATCCAAGGTCATGAAGATTTACATCTGTTTATTCCTCAAGGTTTCATAGTTCTACTTCTTACAGCTAGGCTGTGGGTCTAAGTTTTCTGTATGGTGTGAGGTAGGGCTCCAGCTCATTCTTTTGCATCCAGTTCTCCCAGAACCACCTGCTGAAAGGAGTATTTTCCCCACTGAATGGACTTGACATCCTTATTGAAAAGCAGTCAAACTGTATTGGTTTACTTCTGGAGTCTCAATTCTATTCCATTAGTCCTGTGTCCATCCTCACGCCTGGACCACATAGTTTTGATTACACTAAGTTTTGTAATTCAGAAGTATGAATCCTCCTTTATTTTTCAAGGTTGTATTTGAGACTCCTCATTCCATATGCATTTGTGGATGAGCCTTCCCCTGGGGGGCTGTGACAGGGATGAAGTCCCATGTGTAGACCACAGTGCAATGTTCTGTCGTTTCCAGTGAGCAAGTCTCTTACCTCCTTGCTTACATTTATCCTAGGTATTTTATTCTTTTGGGTGCTTTTGTAAGTAGAATTGATGACTTAGCTTCTTTGTGGTTTACTCATTGCAGATATGCAGAAGCACACTGATTTTTGTGTTTGATCTTGTATTCTGCAACTTTGCTGAATGTGCCTAATGGTTCTAGTAGCTTTCTGCAGGTTATTTGGGACTTGTAAGATAGGATCATGTCATCTGTGAACAGAGATGATTTTA